GATGATCTCGCCACGTCTTGGGCCAGAGGTCGGCACCCTGGATCGCCATCTTGATGGCTGGATCCGCCCTGGGTGCCTTGAGGTCCAGGATCGCGGTGAGGCACCTGCCCTTGTTGCCACTGGAGCATGCCCAGCCTCCGCCTCGCCTGGACCAACTGCTGCCCGAAGACCCCGTGGACCTGGTGGCCGTAGAGGCCCGCAGGCAATCCTCCTTGCTTCTGGAGCTTGGAGGTGATCTGATACTGCCGAGAGGCAGTGGTGAACTTCCTGATTTTTGTTGACATCAACTTGTGTTTGTTGCCACGAATCCTACGGGTCGACCTTGCCAGTCTGCCGCAGCCAAAGTCGATGCCGAGGTACGCAGCTTGCTTCACACCTTTGATCTGGAGCCCTCGTCGGCGTAGCGCTCGAACAATGGTGCTCGTGTCCTGGATGCTCGTGCACATGATCGTCGACATGGCCGCAATCTTCAATTGCCTGAGCTTCAATTGTTCATATGTGGTGGTGATGCAGTCGATCATCTCTGCACGAATAGCCCGTAGGGAACCTCTCGTAGTCTGGGAAAGGTCGTCGATCCACAACCTGTGCCCCATACGAGGGCGCATTGTCGTGTCATGGGCCATGACAAAGTGGGCGAGGGTTTGGGCAAACCGCGCGCCAGCTCTCAACCCCGGCACCACACTCTGACTTGGTTCGAATGCCTCAGTTGCTGCACCCATTTGTTCTAAAGCCCGTGGAGCAATAAATTGAACCAGTTCAAGATACAGCACCACAAGCGGGAAATTGAGTCGTACTGCTGCCTCCACAAGGGGCTGCCATGGAATGGAGTCGTAAAAGGCCTCAAGATCTAACATCGCATGGGCGCGTTGCATCTGGAGATGGTGAGCAACTGCTTCGTCTATGGATCTCAAGAAGGCTTCCTGGAGGCAGGAGTTGCCATTCACCGCAGCGTCCCAAAACGTCATCTGCTCTATACTCCAAACTTGGATCTCTTCTTCTCGAATCATTGACCATACTCGTCCTACCATTGATACCAATCCTATCGCACGGTCGCCCGAAGTCGCTTTTCGGCGTGAGCTTAGCCAAGATTAGAAGAATCTGCACTGGCCACGTGAGCGTGGCCTCAATCGCCTCCAGGATCAGCGCCATCTCCGCGATACCTGCTGGAGGCAGGCGTTCAAAATCAAATGGAGTGAGCCCATCAACTCCTGTACTCGCCTTCATCCCCCTGCACGCCTTGACGATGCTCTCTCCATCAATGGGCTCCAGTGGCCTGTCAACGGCCTCAACCCTAATACGATGAAACAAATCACATGCGTCGGAATAATTGATGGGTTCTGGCGCCCAAAGTTGTTTGAAATGCTTTACCTTCTCGTCCATGATGTCAATGGGATGGTAGATGGCATGGGGGCCCGGTGCCACTTCAATCTGCGACAGTGGCTGCTTCTTCAAAACCTTGCGCAGGATGCCTGCCGACGGTGGCCCCTGCATCTATTCGCGAAGCCCTGACGTGGATAATTGCATGGCAATTCTCTGGGCTCTCGCTGCCACCCGTTGTGCGCATCGAACCCATGACTCTAGAACCACCGCTGAGGTCGCGGCTCCTCCCCGAAGTAGGTCAAGCCATCTCTCCCACGGGGGGTCACGTCCTTCACGCAGGTCGGACTGTGTGCACGCCCTCGGGTATGTCGCCAATCATCTTGTAGCCTGCCTCTCGGTAGTCTTGAAGCTGTCGGGCGCCATTGTCGAGCTCGATGTGGCGACTGATGCCTGCTATCACCGTGGCTGGCCTCGTCCACCACTGCGCTCTCATATCTCTGAGGTGCAGCTGCCGCAAATGAGCTGTCTCTCGCGCCCGTCGCACACGGAACTGCGGACCACGGGCACGCGCGACACGAGGTGCACACTCCTGGTGGCGTGCGGAGATAGCTCCCCCGACGGTGGTGGCCCACGCGGCGCATAATCCTGAAATTGAAGCTGAGCGTTTTTCTTTGAGCCTAAATGCAACGGACTTGAGCAACGGAGGAGTGACACATTCTAAACAACTGGTCCCCGAAGCGAACCCAACCTCAGACCTCGCCTGGCTCCACAGTTCCTGGGGGACCTCGAAGGGGGGCTCTGGGGAGGGGGCTCCAGGGCCAGCGATATCAGGCTCGGGCTCTCGGGCTCTCCTTGATACTCTCTGCTGACTTGAACTTGGATTACGGGGGGGCTGGCTCGAATTGGGGCGAGGGCTGATTGGGGGCACGCGCTCGCCATCGCCATTATCCGAACACAGAGGGGCAGCCTGATCGGCGGCACCTGCTGCAGCTCCAGACCCAGGCGCGGGGGCGGGGTCACCAGCAGGGGGCAGGGAGGAAGGGAGAGGAGCCGATGCGAGAGCCGCCTCGCAGGAGAAATTAAGCCCATCTTCCCACGGGCCAGGTTCGCCTGGCCACCCATTAAGATTAAGCTCAGAGAAAGAAGGGGGCCCACCTTCGGCCGCGCTGTCGCCGTGGGAGCCCTCTGGTTGAGATTCTGACTGAACAGAGTCCCCAAAGACGGAAAGCAGAAACTCGTCGCGCTTCTGAGTGGCCTCTTGCTGGGCCACTTGACGCTTCTCACGTGCAAGGCTACTCTTGGAGCCAGGGGTGGGGGAGGAGCGAGGCCGAGGGAGCCGGGGGGGCCCCGTGGGGAGCTCAAGGACCCTCGCGACGAGCTGAAGGCCCGAGCTCCTGAAGGCAATGCGCAAGCCTACGCGCGGCTTCCAAGCCACGGTCTTTACCCGGCAAACGTCCTTGACAAAAGGGGTGGCTGACTGTATGCACAACATGTAGTCAATCAAATAGTCAGGGCCTTTTTTTCTGCGCACATTTGCCGCCACACGGCGCCGCGCGAATGACGGCGTCGAGCTGCTGGGCGAACAGCGAGGCCTGGAGCACGGCGGGGGACATGTTGAAGTCGCCCACGACGGCCCACGGTAACCTCGTCGCTTTCAGCAGCCCGCCCAAGCGACTGAATCGGGCTCTGTTGGCGCCCCTCATGAGCACAGACGGATGGCCATAGAAGTAGACAACCAACATGCTGCACCCCGTGAAATTGATGACCATCGGCAAGAAACCGTCGAAAGACGACTGGCCAATACTTGAAAGTTGAGACGGGACAACACGTGCTTCAGGAAGGAGGTGGGACTGTAAATGTTTCCCTCCCAAAAAAACATTCCTCCACCCTCATTCGACCTGTGCTGCCTACTGGTCGCGACGATCCCCCCAGACGGCCTGGCAGGATTGTGGTACAATCGGAGCTTCAGCTTTATGGCCCTCTCATCGCATTTTGTAATTCCCCCTTCTCGTGCACATGGGTTTCCAACAAAACCCAAAACTGGCACTCTGTACTGTGGTGCTGGATGTAGTTCCACACCTTGTCACTGAGCTCCGTTACGCTCGCCACGAACATGTGGGTCTCAGCGTCCTGAGCGTCGTCGCCGCAGGCCTGAGGAGCGCCTGCCGTCGTTTGTCATAATGGCACTTCTACCCCGTGGGTGGCCGCCTTGAGCGCCGAGCCCTTGCCCTTCGCCTTGGAGGCCGCCTGCGGCGCCTGAAACTTCGCATCCGACAACTTCTTCGCCTCCTCCTGGAGCCGCTGCTTGCGCTGCTCCATGCTCTCGGTGGGCGCCTTCGGCTTGGTGGTTTCGGAGGTGCTCTCTGCCTGCTCCATCTCCTGCGAAGGTGTCGCGGAGGTGGCGCCTGGCGTGGTCGCACCTGGCACGGCCTCGCCCGTTGTCGACTTGCGCTTCTTCGCCGTCCTCTCCAGGATGGCCTTCTGATGCGCACGCGCTTGTTCCAGCCACTCCTTCACCTCGGAGCTCTTGCCCTCGAGAGCGGACTTGGTAGCGGTGAGGTCCTTCTGGAGCTGTTCGAGCGCCTTGCGCTCCGTCTCCGTGACCTCCATGTCCGACAAACTGTCGAAGAAACTTTGATCCCACTCAACCTTAAACATTGGTCCCTCTGGCGTGGCGCTCGAGTCTGGCTGCAATGAGTGAACGCCCTCTGCCACGGCCAGAGCCTGGGCCGCATTGGCCTTGGCCTCCTTGGCCTCTGCTAACTTGTACGCTGCCATCGTCTCCTTCTCCTCCGCCGCCTTCAAGCTCGCCCTCAGGCGGAGAACGGAGGCCACTGCTTGCTCATGTAAATGTGATGCATTGCGAAACGCTCCATCGGCCAGGCGCAGGGTCTCCACGGGGCTCGGCACCGTCACGGCGGCGGCGGCGTCCTTGCTCAGGCGCTGGAGCTGCTGCTTCAGCGTGCCCTGCAGGTTCTGATCCTCCATCGCCAGGATGGCCTTCTGCAGGAGATCCGTCACCTCATCAGATCCTCCTGCACGGCGTCGAAGCCCTGGTGAGTTGCTGCGGCTGGCTGGCTTCAGGATGCCCTGGCCACGGGCCCGCTGGGAGGAGGTGTTCTCCTCGGGCTCGAGGCAGTCTTGGAACTCTCCCTCGTCGTCGATGGAGCGGTCGAAAGGCACGGCACGCCGACGAGGCTTGTAGAGCTGCACCTTGCATCCACAACTGTTGCACACATACTTGTTCATGACAAGAACTGAGTTCCATTCGCACCGACCACAGCTGCACCGTGTCCACAGAGCTTTGGACTGCACAGGCGGCGCCATGGCGGCGAACGGAGGATGTTACCTATCCTCGGTGTTGGTCGCAGGACTGGGCTAACTGGTCTCGTTCGCCTATCCTGGGTCCTTCAAGCGCTGCGTGGAAGCCCCGAGGACTGGCCCCTGCCAAAATGGTTCGGGCCAGAGTGCTTGAGGGAGGGAGGAGGGAGGAGGGAGGAGGGAGGAGGGAGGAGGGAGGAGGGAGGAGGGATGAGGGAGGAGGGAGGAGGGAGGAGGGAGGAGGGAGGAGGAGGAGGAGGAGGAGGAGGAGGAGGAGGAGGAGGAGGAGGAGGAGGGGTGCTAGAGACTCGTCCGTCCCGGCCCGAGCACTGGCCGCCCCCCCGCCCCGGCCGGCAGGCCTCGCCGGTCGGGCAGCGCATGCACACCCCGAGCTGGCGCCGGCAGAGCACCTGCGCGGCCCCAGCGGCGCCCCAGCGGTGTTCGAGAGCGGCCCGACCAGCCATCACTGGGGGAGCTGTGGTCCCTACCCCTCCGGGGGAACCCATCGCATCGACGAGCAGGAGGACGAGAGGCGAGACGAGGGCTAGAAGGGACGAAAGACAGAGGGGATCGGCCAGGGAAGACAGGAGGGGGAGGAGGAGGAGGAGGAGGAGGAGGAGGAGGAGGAGGAGGGGCGTCGAAATCGATGGGTCCCCAGGGGGGGGTAAGGACCACAACTCCCCCGAGTTGTGGCTGGCCCGGCGGCGGCGAGCGGCGTCGGCGACGGGCTCCCGGGCCCACGAGCGAGGGGCGATGCCGAGGTCGACGCCAATGCTGCAGAGGATCCTCATCACCGTCGTGCTCCTGAGCCTCGTCATCACCACCATCATCAACATCGTACTCGCACGCATCAGCATGATCCTCCCCATCCCCATCCTCGTACCCATCCCCATCACCATCACCACCGGCAGCACCGGCAGCATCAGCATCGCCATCACCATCGCCGTCACCATGATAGACATCAGCTTCAGCATCATAACCATCATCACCGCCATCTGCATATTCTGCATCATGGTCATCATCATCACCACCACCATCATTATCGTCGTCATCATCATCATCATCATCACCATCACCATCATTATCAACAGCATCAGCATATTCATAATCAGCATCATCAGCAGCAGCAGCAGCAACAGCATCAGCATCAGCATCATCATCATCATTATCATCATCAACATCATTACCATCGTCTTCATCACCGTCACCATCGACGTCACCATCTTCAGCGTCATCATCACCATCATCAGCAGCATCAACATCAGCATCCGCATGAGCATCATGCTCATCAGCATGATCGTCGCCATCATCGCCATCATCGGCGTCATCATCCTCATCATCATCAGCAGCAGCATCATTATCAGCCTCAGCATCATCATCGTCATCAGCAGCAGCATAATCATCCGTAGACTTGTTGGCTAAAGCCTGTCCTCATTGGTCTTCTCTCGGTTTGAGCCCCGCGGGAGGCAGAGTGAAGACATCTTCGGGGATGGTTCCGGCTGGCTGCAAGGATGCCCCCGCGGCAGCGACGGAGACGGACTCGGGATGAAGAACTACCCCCCGGAAAGTCCCCCGGATGGTTCTTCGACACGACCTGCTGAAGATCCATCATTTTTCCAGGTGGAGGTGGTGTATAGGTCTCCGACGAATGCGATCTCTTCAGCTCCTTTTTTTCTGGCCCAGGGGTGAAAATCTATACCCCCGGGGATGTCCCCCAGACGACTCTTCGACACGACCTGCCAAGCTTGCGTTCCTTTCCCAAGGGCGTGTACAGGCGCGAGTGGCCCTTGGAGCGCGGCGTCGAGGGGGGGCGCGCGGGGAGGATTGCGGGAGGGAGGCAACCCCAGGCACGCAGGCGAGAGCGCGAACCCTGCCCAGCCTGAGGACGTCCGCCCCCTCCTACGCCTCCTTCTCCCCCTCCTCCTCCTACTACTCCTCCTCCTCCCCCTCCTCCTCCTACGTCCGCCCGTTCCTCCTCCTCCTCCTCCTCCTTCTCCTCCTCAGCCGTCTTCAGAAGAAAGAACACCGGCATACACATAAACGTTTGGCGCTCCGCGCGGATTTCTTGGATCCGCGCTGGACCCCCCCTCCCTGGCGCGCGGAGCGCGCCAGGGGCGGCGCCGGGGGGCGGGGGCCCAGATCGGAGAGGAGAGCTCCGCGCGCAGCGCCAAAAAGCACATGCGTGAGGCGCGTGCTCTTCGTCGATCCCACTCCCTCGGCTCGCCACCGCTCGGACGTCCATTTTCCCTGTGTTTGTTTCGGCTTCGTGCGTGGTTCTTTTTCGCCAAATGATCAAGGATGCTCCTCGATGGCCCTCGCCGAGAAAAAAAATGCACACGTACGAGCGATGCCCAGCAGGGGGGGGCCCCCTGCGGGCCCGCACCCGCAGGCCGGCGCCGGCGACGGGCCCGCCCGTGCTGTGCGCCCGCTCGACGACGGCAGGCCCCAGCCGGGCTCTCTCTCTCTCTCTCTCTCTCTCTCTCTCTCTCTCTCCATATATATATATGTACTTTGCTGCCTCTCTCTCTCTTTCTCCCTCTCTCTCCCCCCTGGACGCATATGCAGAGGAACTGTCTTCCCAAGCAAAAAAACCGCCAGTTCCTGAGAATCTCCCAGGAATTGCTCGTTTCTTTGAAAACTCTCTCCCCGACCATGCGGCGTGGGGGAACGCCTGCTTCAAAGTCGCGCGCCGCGGCGGCGGCCTCGGCGACGCGCGGCGCCCCCGCGAGCGCATGGCGTGGCTTCTTGGAGGCCACGTGCGAGGCCTGCTATTCCCCCGCCAGCCTGCGATTTCTGAGGGGGGGGTCACTTCGCTCGGGACCTCTCGGGGCGAAGTGTGCGAGCGCATGGCGCCGCTTGGGGGCCACGTGCGAACCCTACGACCCCACCCCCACGCTACGATTTCTGAGGGGGAGGGATGGGGGCCCACCTCGCTCGGGGCCTCTCTCGAGCGCAGCGAGCCCCATCTCCCCCCCGTTAGAGGTCGTGGGGTGGTGGGGGGCACAGTCGAGGTACTACCAGAAGGAGCGCCAAACAAGGAACAAAGGGGCCTTTCTGGCCACGCTGGGCCTGGGCACCACGGGCAAACCTCCCGCGGCACGACTCCGAGACACGACCCCCCTCCCCCGAGCCCCCTCCGACCCCCCCCCCGAAACGGTCCTCATGCCTCGGCGTCTTGGCCCTGCGGGGCATCGCAGGTGGCCGCCGCGCGCTGCTCCGCTCCGCCAGGGGCCTTGACTAGGGAGCCACATGCGAACCCTTCCCCCTGCCCCCCACGATTTCTGAGGGGGGGTCCCGAGCGAAGTGAACCCCACCCTCCCCCCCAGAAATCGTGGGGGTAGGGGTAGGGTTCGCATGTGGCCCCCTATTGACGCCTCGACCAACGGCTCGGGAGACGTCGACGGCCGGGGCCTCCGCCGAGGCGCGCCCGAGGGCCCGACCCGGCGGAGCGGCCGCGCGCGCCCGGAGGCGCGGCCCCAGGGCCCGAGGGCCCCTCCCCGGAGGCCGCGGCGCGGCGCTGCGCTCGCGGCGCCGCGGCTCTGCACAGGCTCGGCGGGAAGCGAGCGGCTGCGGGTGGTGGGCCCGTGCGCCGCCACCACCGCTGGAGGTTGGAGGGGGGAACGGAGGAGCTCGGTGCTCCTCGATTGTTTTCCAGTTTGCCTCGGGCTTTCCTTGGATTTCCCATGGGAAACCAATGTAAGTTATGGGAAACAGGGGCCTCGTGCCTTATTTCGGGTTCCTAGCGCCCCGACCGTACAAAGCCGCTTTGGCCGCACAGCCCGCCCGCACGCTTCAGCGAGCGAAGGACGGTATAAAATAATATTTTTCGCTGTCGGGGGCGCCTGTCCCTGGGCGGCTGGAAAGTTTACCCCTACGGTGCCACCGTAAGGGTATAAACTTTCCAGCCGCCCAGGGACAGGCGCCCCCGACAGCGAAAAAGTTTATGTGATACCGTTCTTCGCCCGTTAGACGCTGCGCGCTGCCAGCTTCCCACGCGCCGCGCCCCGCTCTGCTGCTGGATGGCGAGGAGGAAGCCCCCTCGCCCTCCTGCTCGCAGTGGCGGTGGTGGAAAGCACGCCCATCAGCCGAGGGAAACGGGCCCCGGGGACCCCCGGGGCCTTGCCCCAGGACCAGCTCGCCGTCAAGAGCAGCTGTTCGACATCCCCCGGGGCCCGCGGAGGGCCCCGGGGGCCCGACAACAGCGACGACCGCAGGACCCGCTGCTGGAGACCTCCCAGGCGGGGTGCCGGCACCGCCGGTGCAGCGGCGGTGCGGCGCGATCCTCAGAGCCCCATCTCCTCGGAGCCCTCGGGACCAGTCCCACCGGCCCTCTGGGCGGAGGTGGTTCAGAGAGCCCGTTCTGTTCCGCCCCCTTCTTCCCCCTCGGGCAGGGGTGTACCCCTCCCCCTCCTCCTACCCCCTCCCCCTGTGCCTGGAGGGGGGGGGGGGCGTGGGTCGTCGGAGCGTCTGTTTGGGCCTAAGATGGCGCCAAGACAGCCCAAGATCGCTCAAGATGACCTCCAAGATCGCTCAAGATAGCCCTCGATGATTCAAGATAGCTCCTCAAGCCTACACGAGACTCCAAGACCGCCACAAGACGGCAAGTGGCCACGGAGCCTCCCAAGGACGCCCCCGAGAGGCCAACATCCTTCAAAAAGCTAAAAGCAAATCAATGTTGTTGGCCTCAAAGAGCCTTAGTGGGCCCAAAGACCCCCCAAAAGAGCCCCAAAGGTGCCCCGAGAGGCACCACGAGGATCCCAAAAGGGTCCAGACACCTACAACATAGCCCCCAGGAGCGACAAACCCAGAAACGCCTTCATGGTTGACTTCGTCGTCGTCTTCGTCCCCGTGGTCGTCGGAGGCGGCACCGTTGTCGTGGTCATCGTCATCGTCGTAGTTTGTTCCTTTCTCCTCCCACCGAGTTCTCTTCCTCCTTCTCCGCCTCGCCCTCCTCCCACTGCCCCCACAAGCACGTATGGCAGAAAATGATCGGAAGTGGGCGGGAGAAGGGGAGATGCGCGAGAGCAGGAGGCGACGCGCCCGAAAACGACGACCGCCAGCGTGCGTCACAGCAGGCGCTGTCTTGGGATGGGCTGGTGGGGCACTCCTTGGTCCGCGGGCGCGGGAAGACCAGTCGAACGCCGAGCGTTGCTGGTGGGGATACTTTTTTCAGTCGCGTACACCAGCGAAGGCGCGAGCGGAGTCAGAAGCGCTACGGGTCACGACAGCGGCTTCATTAGCAGCTAAACGGGCCGCGAGCCGGAAGGCCCACTCAACCAGCAGCGGCTGACTGCGCGGAGGGGGGCGGCAAGCTGAGGGCGTCCAAACTGGTGGGGATACGCGAAGCGCGAACAAATTCCTTCGTGGCGGCCTCGGCTGCACGACGACGCCGCTCGCCGCTTGCCGCCCCCCATACGCGGCAACTCCTGGGAACCTACCGTGCCGTCTTGCTCGCTCGCTTGCGAACCGACGCTCGTCGACGCCAAATCGAAGCTCCTCGGCGCTACACCGGCGCCTTCGCATCGATTGTCGGATGCTCGTTCTAGCCGAGGCACTCCGAAGACGGGATCACGAGGGCGTAAAACAATCCCGTGAGTTGCCACCGAACCGCCCCCTGACCCTGGGGCAGAGAGTGACCCTTGGTCCGCGGCTGCAAGGGGGCCGCGGAGGGCCAAGCCTGAGCGTGCAAGACAATGCCGGGTGTGTTTGCAGGTTAACGACCAAGGAATCGAACATACACAGAACCCGCAGGTAGAGGTGAGAGAAGGAAGAGGGTAGCTGGTCCTTGTCCACGGCGCTGCGATGATGGCAGCGCGGCATGTCGCACCAATACGCTGAGCCAACACGTTAGCAGTATGAAGTGTGATAATGGTGATATGAGCGGATTCCACACACACACACACTTTTGATCTGCGGGTCGAGAGCGCACCTCTTCCGGTCGAAGCTAAGCGGGCCGCGCGAAGCTTGATTTAGGCGGAGAAGAGGAGGGAGGAAGCGGCGGAGCCTCATACACACACACACTTACACACACACATACACTTACACTTACACTTACACTTACACTTACACACACACAGACACACACAGACACACACACACACACAGACACACACACACACACACACACACACACACACACCTACACGCACACACACTGGGTGGAGAGCCCCTGCGGACCCGCACCAGAGGCCACCACGGCGAACGGTCCCGCCGACGACTGGCCGACGCCCCCCCCTGGCGGGGCGGGCCTGCCTTCGGCTGGGCCGCGGCTGGCACGCGCAGCAGAGCGCAGCCTGGCGGGGCCGCAGGCGGGCGCGGCGCGGCTGCGAGCGCGCCGGGGCCCCCGAGCCGTGCGGTGACGGACCGCGTGGGGTTAGGTCGGGCCTGTCCCCCTGCAGGGAGATTTTGGGCGAAGAATGAAAACTACCCCAAACATACTCCAAAATGGAAAAAAACATATAAAAGAAAACGAAAACATATGTGTGAATATTCATCTATTCCTCTATATGTTTTGGAGAAAAAACATAAAAATCGTCCCCAGACTATTTTAACAACTATGTTTGAATATTCCTCCTGTGGGGGAACAGGGCCGACTTAAGCGTGGGGACCTCGGGATCCCCGACGCCCTCACACCGCGCTCCTCAAGGTGCCCCCAAGGCCTCAAAAGACGGCGCCAGGAAGGGCGACTTACACGCCGTGGAATCCCATGCTCGCGCCGTGAGCACAAGCTCCACGGGCCCTACGCCCGGCTACTCGCCAGCGTGGCAGCGCGGAGCACGGCAGCTCACCGCGCGGTCCGTCACCAGAGGCCTCCCAGATGGGTCCGAGCAGGTGGGGACGGAGGATCGCGCCGCATCGCCGATGCATCGCCGATGCGGCTCGATGCGGAGCCTCGCCGAATGGAGCTCGATGTCGAGCGGCGGTGCATCGGCGATGCATCGGCGCCGCGGCGCGATCCTCCCACCCCATCTGCTCGGACACCAACTGGGAGGCCTAGAACCACCCACGGCTCTGGGACCTCGGAGGCCTCGGCAGACGGCCCGAATCCTCCCAAAAGCGCGCGGTGACCACCGCCTGCGGTGCTGTCACCACACCGTTTGGGGGGCCCGAGGGCGCGGTTCGCTGCCCGCGGCGGTGCTCCGGGATCCACCCCCCACCCCCAAGGGTCGCGCCGAACCTGGGCGCGCAGGCCGATGCTACCGCCTCGCGTTCCGCGATCGGGGACCCCATTGGGCCCGCACCAAAGGTCACTCCGGCGAAAGGTCACTCCTCCTCCTCCTCCTCCTCCCTCCTCCCTCCTCCTCCTCCTCCTCCTCCTCCTCCTCCTCCTCCTCTCTCCTCCTCCTCCCTCCTCCTCCTCACCTCCTCACTCCCTCCGCCTCCTCCTCCCTCCTCCGCTCCTCTCCCTCCTCCCTCCTCCTCTCCTCCTCCCTCCTCCTCCTCCCTCCTCCTCCCTCATCTCCTCCTCCTCCCTCCTCCTCCTCCTCCTCCTCCTCCTCCTCCTCCTCCTCCTCCTCTCCTCCTCCCTCCTCCTCCTCTCCTCCTCCTCCCTCCTCCTCCCCCCTCCTCCCTCCTCCTCCCTCCTCCTCCTCCTCCCTCCCTCCCTCCCTCCTCCCCCTCCCTCCCTCCCTCCCTCCCTCCCTCCCTCCTCCCTCCTCCCTCCTCCTCCTCCTCCTCCCTCCTCCCTCCTCCCCCCCTCCCTCCTCTCTCCTCCTCCTCCTGCTCCTCCTTCTCCTCCTCCTCCTGCTCCTCCTCCTCCCTCCTCCGCACGTCCAGTCGAAGGTGTCCCCAGCGCATCGCGCCCGTCTGGAGCTGCCCTGCGAGGCTCTCTGGGCCTCGTGAGCAGTGCACGGGGCCTCGCGCCGCCCCGGGCGCCGCCCTTCCGCCGCCCCGTCGGGGATCTTCTGACCTGGGTCAATCCAGACCCGGGTCAGCAGGAAACCAAAAAACTGCAATGCAGGAAACAAAAACTGCAACGCAGGTGCTCGCAAGCCCGGGTCAGCCAATATGCGCGGCCGCCTCGCGGCCACAAGCGGCTCGCTCACCTGGGTCAGCCAGAGGGGGTCTTCGCAGGATCCTGACAGATCTGGCGCTCTGGCTGACCCTCGTTTGCGTTGACCCCCGTCTCGAGGCTCCCGACCCCGGGGCGCCGCCCGTCCGCCGGGGAAGGGGTGCCAGCCGCTCGAACCCCTCGGAAGGCGAGGCCACGTTCTGGAGAAGCCTCGCGCAAGCTTGAGCGCAGAGGGGGTCCCAGACCGATGCCAGTCCCAGTGCGATCCAGGGCGAGAAACAAGACTCTGCTCACGTGCGATCGAGAGCTCGGGTGCGACGTCACGCTGGAGCTGTTTGCGCCGCCGATGCTTGAGATCGCACTTGAGCAAAGAGTGTTTGATCGCATTCGGCTCTTCTCTTCTATCGCAGGGAGGCTCCACGACGCGAAGCAGGTCACGACGTCGGCGGCCCAGGCCGCCCGACCTCGCGAGGCCTTCGCGCTCTCTCGCTGGCCTCGGGCGGGGGCACCGCGGCCTGGCGGCGGTCTACCTCCGCTCACCCCCCCCGCCTGTTTGCGCCCGGCCAGCCCTCTGGGCGCAGGTGGCCTGACGATATTCCCCTCGCCTCTTCGACATCCCCTCAGCGATATCCACCCTTCCGCTTCGAGAACCCCTCTTCCCTTCGGGGAGGGGTGCCCCCCCCATCCCCCCCCCCCTGGAAGTTGCTGTCCCCACCCCCCCGCCCGCGATGTATGTGTCAGAGGGTCTTGGCCCAAGATGGCTCCAAGAGGGTCTCCGATGGTTCAAGACGGCCCCACAGATGACACCAGATAGCCGAAACTGGTTGAAGATGGTTTCCGACATGCCTCCAATAGGCCCGAAAAGGACCAGAAGATGGCTCCAAGTGCTCTCGGAGCCCCCTCGGAGCTTCCCCAAGAGGCCAGGATCCTTTCAAGACCGGAGGATCTCAATGATGGCTGCCTTCTCCTTTTCTCTGCCATACGGCTACGAGGCCTCAAGATGGCCCAAGAGAGCCCCCAGAGACGCCCAAGAGGCCCCCCAAGACGGCCCCGAGAGCGCGGTGGGGCCTGGGGAATCCTGCTATGGCCCCGAGAGGCCTCCAGGGCTCCCAAGAGGGCCAAGAGAGGGCTCCGAGAGAGCCTCGAGATCCACCAACAAAGCCCCCAGAGGACCCCAAGACCCCGAGACCCCAAACAAAAACACAAGAGGGCCCCAAGAGGGCCGCAGCAGAGCCCCAAGAGGACCCTAAGAGGGCCTCCACAAGACCCCACGAAGGCTGCCAGAGTCTGAAACCTCCTCCTCATCCTCCTGCTCGTGTTCGCAATGTTCCTCCTCGCCCTCCTCTTCCTCCTCGTTCTGCTCCTCGGCCGCCTGCTCGCTTCTCGCCCTCGTCCTCCTCCTCGTCCTCTTCCTCCTCGTTCTCGTCCTCCTCCTGTGTCATGGGTCTGATTAGACTGATCCACAACTTGTTCCACTGCGTGCTTCTACACAGTCCTGGTCAAGGCAACTCGCCTGGGCTTCGTTTCTGGATGGGCTGGTGGGGATGCGCGAAGCGTCACGAGTTTCTGCCCTCGGCCCTCGAGCGCTGAGGAGAGAATCGCAAAGCAAACCTCCTCACAAGTGCAGCGCCGCTGGGGGGCCGCCAGATTGTCGGAGTCGTTGAGCCGATTGGTCATTGCCAGTGCTTCCCGAGCAAGGTCATCCAGGCACGACGAGAAACTACTGAGACACTGAGGGATCAGAAGAGGTGCTTGGACATGATCGGTACACATGTTGCCATTGCCTCTGAGACTTTTCGGCCTCTGAAGGCATCTGAGGGCCTGCCAATGACCTCGAACACCTCTGACGACCTCGGGGAACCTTCAGGGGTCATTGTCCAGGGCGGACGTCATACTTATCATGTCACCCCCGCCTCTGCGACCTCCTCCTCCTCCTTCTCCTCCTCCTCCTCTTCCTCCTCCTCCTCTTCCTCCTCCTCCTCCTCCTTCTCCGTCCTCCTCTTCCTCTGCCTCCACCTCTGCCTCCTCCACCTCCATTCCCTGCCTCCTTCGCCTTCGGGCCATACTCCTCGTTTTACCCGCACTTCCATGTTTCCTCCGTCGTGCCGCCCCAACTGCCGTCCTCCGTACCCCGCCCCTCCGCCCTCCTCCTCCTCCTCCTCCTCCTCCACAATTACTCAATATGAATACTACTCTCCTACTTCCCCTGATGACGGGTTGGGAGTGTTCGCCCCCCCCCCGCGCACCATTTGTTTACACACAGGATTCCCTGGAGTAGGGTTTTCGCTTGCATTTGTTCCCAAAATGCTGCTCTCGCTGAGGCGCCGGCCTCATTTTCGGGCCCCGCTCATTCCGAATCGTGCTCCCGCTGCAGCGCTGGCCTCATTTCCGTGCTTCCGCTCGTTCCGAATCGTGCTCCCGCTGCAGCGCTGGCCTCATTTCCGCGCTTCCGCTCGTTCCGAATCGTGCTCACGCTGCAGCGCTGGTGTCATTTCCCGTGCCATGCCACGGCATGCAAAGCAATGCTAGGTTGCGTTTCGCTGCGCGATGCCATGCCTTCAGCTGGAGCTACGATATGCAGTGCGTAAGTGCCACGTCGTGCTATGCCTATGCCATGCTACGCTTTGATCTTCAACGCCATGCTATGCAATGTTATGTTCGGGGCCGCTGTGCGATGCCATGCTTTGCGTTGCAAAACTTTGTGATGCAATTCTTCACTACGCCACGCCACGCCATGCTGTGACATACTACGCTTTGCGGTGCTATTCTACGCCATGCCATGCCGTGCTCTACAATGCATCGCGTACCCTTTCGGGATCACTGCCCTGCTCGACATCCGACTGTGCGAGTAGAGAGGGAATCTACGCCATGGTAAGGGATGGGAGGGAGGGGTAGGATATCAGATATGACGCGAGCGCACCTAGCTTGTCCTCCTCCCCCTCCCCTCCTCCTATTATCATTCCTCGCCCCCCCCCCTGCACAGATTCCTCGAGTTGTCATCGTCCTAACCATTCACCTCCTTATCATCCTTACCCTCCTCATCCTGTCATGGTCATCACCGTCGGCATCGTCATCGGCGTCGTCACCATCATCAGCAGCAGCAGCACCACCACGAGCATCACCAACACCATGGCCTCCTCATTACTCATCAACAGCATCATCACAGACATCGTCATCGTCATCATCAACATCGTCATCGTCATCAACGTCAGCGTGTACATGCTCGTGTGTTCCATAATCAGTGACAGCATCAGCATCATCATCAGCCGCAACAGCAGCAAC